TTCTATGTTGTTGATTCAATGAATTATAGAATTCAATTGTTTAAAAGATTATAAGGATTATATTTCATTTATTTTTAAAAGCTTTTTTTATTTATTTTACATTGAACTTTTTTTCTTCTTCATCAATTAATTATTTATTGATTTTTTTTGTTCTTGAATAAATACTTCGAAACAAATATTCATTAATTCATATTTTAACTATTGTAAATCGATATTTTGAAATAAAAACAAGAAATTTCTCTTTTTAATATACTGAATATATATATAAAATAACATGATGATAAATAAGTAGAAAATAGAAATTTTGAATAGAAACGTTAATCATCATGTTATTTTAATAAGCGAAAGCTGAATTAGTATTTATATGTTTAAAAGAACAAGTAGCGCTCGTCTGCGGACTCGCTCAGCTCTTTCTCGTAGAAATCGTATTCTACAATACTAAACTTTTTCCTTATACAGATTGGAAAAATTAACACCAGATTTGTGTCCTTCCACCCTACTTACCCTTCGGTCACCCCTTATGAAAATTTTTTTTTATAAAAATTGGTTCTCTCTTTAAAAAAGTGATCCATAAAAATATTTTATAATATTAACCTCACATTCAAATTCTTGGCACTCGATTACCCTTCGGCTAAACTTTTTCAAAAACTAATAATATCAATTATTAACTAATTAATTTTAATAAATCAATCTCAGATTCGAGTTCCCCATACTCGATTACCCTTTGGTCCAACTTTTCTGAAAATACTTCAAAAATTAATAATATTAATTATTAATTAATTATTAATTAATTATTAATTGATTGTTAACTAGAACTAACCTCAAATTCGAATTCTTAGCACTCAATTACCCTTCGGTGAAACTTTTTCAAAAACTAATAATATCAATTATTAACTAATTATTAACTAATTAGTTTTAATAAATCAGTCTCAAATTCGAGTTCTCCATACTCGACTACCCTTTGGTTCAACTTTTCCGAAAATATTTCAAAAATTAATAATATTAATTATTAACTAATTGTTAATTGATTGTTAACTAAAAATAATCGTAGATTCGGATTCTCCACACTCGATTACCCTTCGGTGAACTTTTACTTGAACATATAATAATACTAATTATTAACTGATTATTAACTAATTATTAACTAGTTAATTTCAATAAACTAACGTCAGATTCAAGTTCTCCGCCCTCGATTACCCCCCAGTCAAAGCTTTCCGGAAGTATCTGAAAAATTAAATTTCAATGTTTTTTTGACCCTGCGGACACACAAGCAAGCAAGCAAGCAATCAGACAATTTATGTTCACTGAACTCTTCTCTACGAGAAAGAGAATAACCAACATTCAGTTTTATTTAAACAATACTTCTAATAATCAAAGATTATTTTATAACAAATTATTTCTTTCACATTTTACAAACAAGATTTAATATAATTAATACATTTTAAAGTTAATTCGATTAGTTTTTCGTAACAGGCAAGAAGATAAACTATATAAAGCGTCATCTGTTATATCTTAGAATTGTATTTGTATCCGACGCTTTATTTCGAATAACCAATAATTCGTCTCTCTTTCATTTTACTTTTATTTTAACTATACCGTTTGTTGAAAACAAAGAAATTTTTTATTAGAAAGAAAAGAATAAATAATTATTTAATAGTATTTCAGAAAAAATGACTGATCGAGTACGAATTTTAATTATTGAATCATTTACTTCAATTCGTTATGTAATACGTAAAGAAATAAAAATATCCAAGTCAAATGCTAAATATTGAGTGTGGGTGTGGGCGGGTATGTGGATAGTTCTCCTCTCTTTACCCACACTCACACCC